TGTGTAGAGTTGTTAGTTTCCTTTGGTTACCTTAACATTTACCCCTATTTTTCTAAATTTAAACCAGTCTTTTATTTCTTTATATCGCCTCGACTTCCTCTCCATGTGAAAAATCTATGTCTGCATTTTTTTAAGTCCCTCTTTTTTGTTTTAATGTTGTCATCTTTTACATACTGACATCTCTGTTTCCCTATTTTCAGTGTCTTAGCTTTAATTTATTTTTGTGACTTCCCTATCTGGGTTGATGTCTGGTTGATCTGTCCTGTGTTCTAGTCTTGGGTTGTTATCTGATGTTACTGATTTTCTAACCAGAGGACTCCCTTTAGTATTTCTTGTAATTTTGGTTTAGTTTTTGCAAATTCCCTAAACTTCTGGTTATCTGGAAATGCCCTAATTTCACCATCATATTAGAGAGACAGTTTTGCTGGATATATAATTCTTGGCTGGCAGTTTTTTTCCTTCAAGGCCTTATATATGTCATCTCATTGCCTTCTTGCCTTCATAGTTTCTGCTGAGTTATTTGTGCTTATTCTTATTGACTCTCCTTTGTGGATGAGTTTTCGTTTTTCCCTAACCACTCTTAAAATTCTCTATTTTTTGTTTTGGTTGATTATAATATGTCTTGATGTCTTTCTTTTGGGATCTACCTTATGTGAGATTTGATGAGCATCTTGGATAGAGATCTTCTAATCTTTCATGATATCAGGGAAGTTTTCTGCCAACAAAAATCTTCAACAATTCTGTCTGTGTTTTCTGTTATCCCCCCATTCTGGTGCTCCAGTCACTTATAGATTATTCCTCTTGATAGAGTCCCACATAATTGTTAGGGTTTCTTCATTTTTTTTATTTCTTTTATCTGATTTTTCCTCAAATAAGTTGGTGTCAAGTGCTTTATCTTTAGTCTCACTAATTCTGACTTCCATTGCCTCAGTTCTGCTCCCATCACTTCCTATTAAGTTGTCTAATTCTGAAATTTTATTGTTAATCTTCTGGATTTCTGTTTCCTGTCTCTCTATGGATTTTTGCAGCCTGTTAAATTTGTCATTATGCTCTTCTCTAATGTTCTTACATTCCTGTATTGTTTTGTCTCTGTGATCCTTAGCTTGTTCTGCTTTTTGACTGATCTCCTTCCTGATATCTTGAAGAGTTCTATATATTAATCTTTTGTATTCTGCCTCTGGTAATTCCAAGAGTTCTCTTCCTCCGGAAAATTTTTTGATTCTTTGTTTTGGGAGCTTGCTGAAGCCATCATGATCTGCCGCTTTATGTGATTTGATATTGACTGTTGTCTCCAAGCCATCAATAAGTTATTATATTTATTTATTTTATGTTTGCTTACTGTGTCCTAGCTTATTGTTTTGTTTTGTTGTGATATGCCCAGATAGGCCTGCTCGTGTAAGCTAGTTTGATTATTGGCGCCTTTGAAGGTCTAATGTCCTGTCACCAGGTGATTAGATCTGTTACTAGGTATCTGAGCCCAGGAATCTGTTTACTTTTCTTGTATGGATTCAGCTCATGTGTCCAGGTAGTCGGTCACCAAGTTTGTGGTGCCAGCTCTCACCTACAGACCTAGACAGGCAGGTATGATTGGTGTAGGCACAGGTATCTGGCTGCAGTAGGGGGTCACACACTGAGCAAGGCAGGGGGCTGATGGCTGCCCCTGAATGTCTGGGAGGAAAGCATGCCCCTGTTCCCTAGAGTGGATAGGTGGGTGGGTTTTCCAGCCAGACAATGGGCACCCAGTGCTGTTGGCTGTTGTGGGTGGCTAAGTGGCATGGATGGAGCCACCAGTCCTCAGGCCCCTGATGTGGGTAGGTGAGGACCCTTCTTAATGAGCAGAGCAGTGTCAAATGTCACGAACCTGCTACTTCACCATATAGCTGATACAGTTGAAGTAAAGCTTCAAGTATATCCCCTGTTGTGCTGTGGTAATGAGGGTCTACACTGTTGAAATGGGCCCACACAGGTCTGTGCTGGGGTGAAAGGCGTTCAAAGTCCATGGACCCCTTATGCCTGTGCCTCGGCAAAGGAGCTGTGCCCACCCTGAGTTCTGGTTTATGGGAGCTGGCAGATTATTTATTCCTGTTTGTTAATTTGTTCCCTCTCCAAGGCTGAGAGAATGGCTCAGGGCACATGACAGGTCCTACTGCAGCCCAGGACACGCGGCAGTCGCTGAAGCCACCCCGGGACCCGGTGCAGAGCAGGGAGGGGGCAGGTAAATGTAAATGGGAGAGAGTTTTTTCCCAAATGGGGTGTTTCTTCATCGGCACAATAGGTCAGACACAGGTACTTATCTTTTGCCGATTAAGTGCCACTTTTCACGGTTCTAGAGGCCCAAATAGACTGTCTGCCACTCGGTCTTTCCTGATGTGGAAAACACCTTCTGAGTGTCACTGCTTGCCTCACCGTACACAGCAGCTGATCCGGCCTGAAGGGTGCCAGCTCCTACCGGGTCAGGTCTGGCAACTCCTCACTGCTTCTGAACTGTCTCTCCCTCCCCCTGCCACTCAGTCCAATTCCTCAACTGTGCCTTTGATGTTCAGGGCTCCTAGACTGTCATATATAATCGATTCACTTGTTTTTTCAGGTCTTTGTTGTAAGAGGTACCACAGGAAGCGTCTTGCTACTCTGCCATCTTTGCCCTGCCTGCTGCTCCCTCTTTTCTGGGTTTTCCTCCTGATTTACCATTCTTCTCACTCTCCTGGACCATATCTCTAAATGTTGAACTGCCTCAACAGTCTATCCTCAGACCACTTCTCCTCTTTAGCTCTATCTACATAAGAGATTTTATCCAGTCCCATGGTATTAAAAAGTATCTGTGTGTTTATTCTCAACCTTACTGCTAATTTTTTTTTCCTTACTGCCTATTTCTCATCCACTGGATGTCTAATAGATATCTAAATTCAACATGTCCAAAACCAAATTTCTGGTTACACTAACCCTCTTCCACAGTTTTTCCTCTTTCAGTGTTTCTCATTCTCAGTAAATGACATAATCATTCACCCAGTTCTGCAAGCCTGAAATTTTGGTCATATCCTCTTGTCTTCTCTCTTTCTCACACCCCACATGCAGTCCATCCACAAAACCTGTCGGCTGTACTTTCAAATGATACGCTTATATTCAAACACTCCACGTCATTTCTACTGCTACCACTCAAGTCACCATCATCTCTCATGTGGACTTTTTAAAAATATATATTCTTTGTAATTGAGATATAACTTCTCATATATAGTAAAGGACACATACCTTAAGCACACAGCTCAATGAATTTTTACATATGTATACATCTGTGTAACTACCACCCAGAAATAATATTCTGTCTCCCCAAAGCTTAGGATAATATCTGGCATATACAGAATATTTAGTATATATGTGCTAAATAAATGAATTTGATAATAAAAATTCTGGAGGTATGTTATAGCTAACATTGATTGTTTATTATATTCCAGGCACTGGACTACACACTTTATATACATTGCACTCATTTAATCCTTACAACAATTCTATATATAGTTCATACTAGAATTGTTCTCATTCAAAGATGGGGAAAGTGATGTTTAAAGAGGCTAAGTAGCTTGCTCAAGGTCAAAGTAGTAGAGCTGGTACTTGAACATATGTAGCCTGATTTCTAAGTAAGTGATTATTAATATAAAAAAAGAGATATACATATAGGTGTATGTTTCAGTGTTAGTCATGATAGCTAAAAATTGTGAACTAGTTAAATGTCCAACAATAGTAAAATGACTCATTAAATCATGGTACAGACATTCAATGCAATATTATATTGTCATTTTAAATGATATTTTCCCAAAACTTCCTATCAGGATAAAATGTTTATGCCAGCAATGTTAAATTTTTTTAAACGCAGCAGGGTATAATGTATATATGATACAGATACCACTGTGTAACCAAAAAAGTTTTTTTATTTGTGTTGAAAATTAATTATAAAGAAATAGAAACCTAACAAATTATTAACAGATAATATCATTGGGCAGCAGGAAGTATGGATTTTTATGATTTTCTTTCATGTTTTCTTCTTTGTTTATATTGGGCATGTTTAGTTTTGAAATAATAAAAATGATGAAGTATATTGTAAAAGTAAACAATTTATGAATCCTGGAAAAATAGTTGAGTATAAATTGATGTTTGATACAGTAAAGTTAATGCTGATTGTAGAGAGCACATACCTATTCTAGCATACACAAGTGTTTTCATTACATAAATAATGCATACTCATTATAGAAAACCCCAACCCATTGCCACTGAGTCAGTTCCGACTCATAGCAATCCTATAGGACAGAGTAGAACTGCCCCATAGGGTTTCCAGGGAGCAGCTGGTAGATTTGAACTGCCGACCTTTTTGCTTAGCAGCCGAGCTCTTAACCACTGCACCACCAGGGCTCCATAGAAATATTAGAAAATACAAATAAGCCCAAAAAAAGGAAAATAAATTTAAATTTTCTCAAACCTGTAACTCAGAAATCAGATCTTGGTGAACATCCTGTCATACTTTTCCTATGCAAATATATACGCTTGTGTGTGTGTGTGTGTGTTTAACAGAACAGCTATATGTATTGTTCCATGACTAGCTTTTTCACTCAACACTATATTAAATACTTTCTTTAATGTTAGTAAATACAGATCTGCGTCATTATTTTCATGGCTACAGAGAACTCAGCTGTTTGCATGTCCTGTATTTAATTTAACTAACACACTGTTGTAGAACATTCGTATTGGCTTCCTTTTTTGTTTTTGCTACTATAAACAGTGCTTCCGTGAACTACACTTGCAGATCTTAAATTGCATGTATACGTAACATGAGGAAGGTCAACCATTTTACTGAAATATACTAACTAAATTGTATCATATGAGTAGCTTTTATTTGCTCCCTATTTTTATTAGTGCATTAGTATGTACATATATGTAAAAGTCTTTAAATGATTTGGGAATTAATAATAAATACAAAATTTCATACATGCCTGCTTTCACATTAATGTAAGGAGACTTCTACTCCTCCTGAAGATAAGAAGAAAATTTCACCAGAAGTGGAGCCTGCACTAAATGTAGAAATTAACATGCCCACTGTTTCACATATTCCAGAGGTATGTATTTGTATTAAAATTATTTTGAAAGGTTCAGTTTGATTCTTAAAGACTTTGACTTGTGGGTATTGACATGGTTCAGGAAATCATAGCACTGATCCTATTTTTGTGTATGACTTTCTTGGAATAGAAAGATTAAAAATATGACAAGTATAACAACCACAGTTATACTGATATTGATAGGAAGTAAATAGATATGTGAATTAAAGTCTTCTGTAAAATTCATTTTGAGATTAATGAATTTTCATTGATAATTTCATTAATAATCAGATTTTCATTTATCATATTTTCATTTGCACAGTTTGAGTAATTATTTTCTAATGAGTCATATATATGTTATATATATATTTGAGTCTCAAGTTTACATGTTTTATTATTTAAGTGCTTCAGCAAGAATGTTATAAATGTGATCAAGCAATAATAAATATATCACTATGCCTCCCTTTCTTCAGGTGTCACAAGAAAGCAGTGTCGATGAAGGAAAAGAGAATACTGAGAAAATACAACAAGGAAAAGGAGATGATGTGTCTTTATTATCCGAGGGTCAGCTTGCAGAACAAAGCTTGGCTTCTTCTGAAGATGAAACAGAAATAACTGAGGAATTGGAAGCAGAAGGTGACTTTCTTTTTTAAAATTAATGTTATTTACTGAACTCCTTGCTTTGTTTAGCTGTTGTTAGAGTTTGCCTCATCAAACCTTTTCATTTAATAGTAGGAGCTACTTCATGATACCAATTTCCTAACAGAAATGATGAGATATAGTTCAGTCTCGTTGACTCAGATCAGGTGGAAATTATTACATCCCTTCTTATTTCAACTTGAAGCTCCACAGAAGAATGCAAGAATGATTGTTGACCATGTTCCCAATTTATAGTTTAAATGGCTTTTTATTTTCTTTGGGTTTAGTATTATCATCCGGATTATTTTAGAGGTCCTCACTTTTTAAAAAGTAAAACTAAGAAGCCAGACCGAAAAAAGAGAACTTACTGTATGATTCCAGTTATATAAAAATCTAGAAAAAGCAAACTAACCTCTAGTGACAAAAAGCAGGTAAATGTTTGCCTGGGGAAGGAAGAGTGAGGGCGGGGAGGGGCAGAAGGGAGAGATTACAAAGGAGATTTGGGATTGGTGCATCTGTCCACTATGTTCATTGTAATGGTTTCCTGGGTTTCTGTGTATGTCAGAATGTCACATTTTGCACTCTCACTTCAATAAAGCTGTAAAAAAATTTAAGCTTTTTAAATAGTAAGAATAACGTTGGTTTTTACACAATATTATTGGTTAGGGATCTTTCTTGTTAATTTCATTCTATAACAGACTTTTTTTATATCTTTTGTTTCTGCCAAAATTAAACTTGGAATTTTCAATCATTTTTCTCCCTTTTCTAAAACAATGTAAATATAAACATCTTCACTGCTAAAAAAAAAAAAAAAAAGTCTAGACTTGATTACTATATTCTTTTTATATATATATTTTTCTTTTTTATATTGTTTTTTGTATAAAACAATATTTTTGTATTTTTTTTTGTCTAAAACAATATTTTTATATTGTTCTTTGAAGGTTATCCTGTGATGTATGCTTGTTTCTGTCTGTTTCACAAGGCACAGATGTCATTGGTTTAACTTATGTAAATGTTACTTTTTTTTTTTAAACAGATGATGAGGGCAGATCAGCTTCTGACAGTGATGACTGTATTATTCCAAGTTCTATCTCCAAGAATATCAAACAGGTCAGTAACTTGAGCCCAACTAGAAATGTTTGAAGTAAAGCTGCCTTTCATGTCATAGTACATCCGTCTTCATACATGAAAATCTTAAGGCAAAAATACTTTTGGAAGTTTTTTAATGTATTATCAAAATCTTAACCAGGTAATTGTCTAGAACAAGAAAATTTTATTTACAGTTTTGTTACATAATGGACCATACACATGAGCGTTATTTTTGCCGAAAGCACCTAACATCAGTAGCTTTAGCAGTTAGACTTGCTAAAACCAGTTGAGTTCTCTGGCTCCTTTTCAGGACCATTGTACAGAGACGTATTGAATCAGACCTGAACTTTAAAGAATTCAGTATGTGAGATTGCATGTAAAACTATAATAGCTTGCCTATGTGAATTCAGACTATTATCCAAATATGTCCATTGATAAACTTATTTAATTTCTGCCAAAAAATTAAACCTTCTTAGAAGGTGATTAATCTTGTGCATATATACTTTGCTTGTTTTTTGTAGTCGACTGTTGAAAAGTAGTATGTAAATTGAAATTTTGAAAAGAGACTTACACTTTAAATGTATATGGAAAGTGTACCACTTACCAGAACATTTTTATTGTAGGAGTGAAAAAAGTTCTTATAAGGTAAATGTCAGTAAAAAGCCCTAGCTTTTTCTGTTAATCTACATTAATTTTCTGAAATTAGCTACACCTGAAATTGAATATACTCTTTTTTGTTTTTTTAGAATTTCTACTTTATTGGTGAGAATTGCAATACTCCTTTGAACTTTTAAAGTCTCCCACATTCTTAGCTTAATCTTTCTGCAAACCAAAACCATGGGACAGAATATTTCAGTTGTCACAGATGTCCCCATGAACTAGGAAAATCCATTGTTTCTGTGCTTAATAAATACAAATAGTTCGTGTGTCCAAAGTTAATTACTATTATTTTATAATTATTAATTATAACAACATCACCTAACATATGGCAACCTGATATATAGAATCTTCACTGTTCAGAATTAATAAATTAAGAAGGAATCTTGCCTATGGTTGCATAAAGACTTTCGTTACAGCATTCCATTTAATTAAATTTATTTATTTATTTTTCTTTATCAAACCTGAAATTTTAAAATTATTTTATCAAACCAATGAATGGAAATTCTCTACCCTCTATTAGAACAATTTGATAATGGGAATCAATGAGAAAATGGGTCCCTTGCCTGAGATTTAGCTTTATGGCCATCTTATAAGAATCCTCCGTTTAGCATATCAAGAATAGTAAATGGTTAAGCACTCGGCTGCTAACCAAAAGGTCAGCAGTTCAAACCCACCAGCCCCTCTGCAGGAGGAAGATGTGACAGTCTGCTTCCGTAAAGATTACAGCCTAGAAAACCCTATGGGGTAGTTCTACTCAGTCCTAGAGGGTCACTATGAGTCGGAATCGACATGGGCACGCAATAACAACAAGAAGCTGGCATGTTTGATTCAGACATTCCTTTCTCACATATCAATAGTGCAAGACTGCCTACTTGATGAGGTTTTTTGGGTAACTATATGATTTAGTCTTTTAAACATAAAAATACAAGAAATGAACTACTGAATCAGTCCTGGAATTGATAAAGACAGGTATCAAGGGATATATTTATCTAGTCAACCTAAAAACAGTGCTCTTACCTCTTGTTATAATGCAGTGATTACCCAGGCATTCGCTGCCTGCGGTTTGCGATCATTCGCCGTAAAGAAGTAAATACAGTATTCTGGCCCTGCCCTCAGAGAACATCTACATTAATTGGAAAGATTCATGCTTATGAAGAGTCTAGTAATTCAACAGTTAAATTACAGTATAAAACAATGTAAGGAGACAGTACTGACAATTAATGTCATGTTATATATTACGCTAAAAAATACTTAGAAATTTTCTGGACCATCCTCCACATGAGTAAACTGAGATCTAGAGAGATGAAGTGACCTGTTCACAGTCATGCCATTAGTTATGGAAGTTCAGAGGAAGGGGAAATTCAGAGTGATTTTCTAGTAGATTTCATGTAGGATGTGCCCATTAGGTGGGCCCTAAAGAATAGGTACAATTTAAATAGGTGCAGTGGAGGAGCGGAAGGGTAAAGGACCCATATCACCCTGCTGCCCTCCGGTGCTCAGGGTTTTAGGAATCATTTGGTTCTAAATGAACTCCCCACCCAAACTGGCTTAAGCATGGAAGGGGGATTTGGAAGGGAACTACAAAGGTACCTCCATCCCAAGTACTGAAAGCATAGCCATGCCTTACAATAGCCTGGAATTATGACCTGGAAAGGAGTTAGGAGCCCTGTGTTCAGCGTTGCGCATGCTCTTGTTCACTTCCTCTTTCACTCTCCATCCCTCTTTCCCTTCCAGTAGTAGCTTTTCCTCCCCCTTTCTCTTGTGCTGTGTGTCTTCGTCTTCTCATTGTAAGCTGAATGTCCCTTCTTCATTTGCTTGTAGCCCAAAGATAGCCACACAGAATGTTTCCCCAGCCCCAAGGAGAGAGATCTGATTGGCCAAGTCTAGCTTCTGGGCTAAGCCCATTTTTATCAGGTGTGTACCCTTGATCCATTCAGCTTGACCAGTCACTCAGTAAGGGGTATCCTGCTGTAACTGTGGCGTCTGAAAGACTGGGACATGGCAGCAGGGAGAAAATTGTGTACGTTTCTAGTACAGGGAGGGATGCACATTATGTGTTTCAGAAGTCAAGAATACACTAACTAGGGCAGACTTTCTGTGTAAAGAAAGAAAAGGATAGAAGGCCTCAGTTATAATGCAAATTGCTAAACATTTTGTACTTTATCCTATAAATACTGGAAGGACAATTCAATAATCAACCTTTATTTTCTAAATATTTTGTTCATCATCTAAAAGTAACTTTCGGCATATGGGGAAATGTTATCTAAATTATACCATCTTAGACCAGTGATTCTCAACTGGGGACATTTTTGTCCCCCAGGGGACATTTGGCGATGTCTGGAGAAATTTTGGTGGTCACACTTAGAGATACTGCTAATAGCATCTCGTCAGGGTTGCTGCTAAACATCTTACAACGCTCAGGACCCACAATAAAGAATTATCTGGCCCCAAATGTCCAAAGTGCCAAGATTAAGAAATGCTGTCTTAGACTTAAAACAGAACCATCATTTATGCTGGCATCTCAGTGGGATTGTATCCTGCACTTAACTAAGAAAAAATAAGGAACTTTGATTTAACAAAGAAGTTTAGTGTTAGAAAGACCTATTCCTTTAAAATATTTGTCTAGTTCTAATGTACACATCCTTTTTTCCCTTTGGAATAAACGGATTATTTTTTTTTTCTAGTTACTTCAGGGAAAGTAATTTTTGTTATTCTGCTACAACGTAATTATCCTTCACTACCATTCTAAAATGTGATTTCCTGTAATGGTTTTAGAAGCTGTCTCAAATGTGTGAACATCGTTTAAAACAAGCAACTGCTCTAAGCAATGCTTCTTCCCTCAGTAAGCATTAATCAGTCCCATGAGCTTCTAGAAATTCTACCTTTAGTAGAAGGTACTGACAAGTATCTTATGTTAATAGAAGAAATTTAGTTTTATTAAATGGTATACCAAATCGAGTAAAATGGTATAATCTGTAAGCATGGGAACAAAACACAAGAAATCGTCACAATGGTGAAAATACAGGAAGTCCCCAGGTTACGAACAAGATCTGTTCCTAACTGTGCCTTTAAGTTGAATTTGTACAACAGGTGCAAACAGTTCTTATTTAGCCTTCAGTGCAGGAAAAAGCTCGAAGTATTTTCAGTGATTTAAGAGCTGTATGTGCAGCAAGTGAAGGTGATTGTGATGAAGAGTTTGTTGTGAGTTGTGGTTGGTTCAGTCATTCCAAAGTGAGGGCAGAGTCACATAACATGAAAGGCAAGTACGAGTTGTCCGTAAGTCAGACGTTCTGAACCCAAGAACTGCCGGTGTTGCATTTTCTAGCGATAGTACCAGTTTTTCTTATGTGCTACTTTAGCAAATCATTTAATATGAATCATGGAACTTTTTCTTGAAAGGCTGCACAAGTTGTAAAAAGAACTGTATACCCTTTACCCAGATTCACCAATTACTACCATTTTGCTGCACTTGTTTTATCATTTTTATTTTCTGTATGTATGAATGTATGTACACATACATATGTACTTATTTATATGCACACATTCTTTACATATAGTTTTTATGAATCATTTGAAAGTTACAGAAATCATGCCCCTTTACCCCTAAATACTTCAGAATAATACAATACTATTATCTACAGACCTCACTAAAATTTTGACAATTGTCCCAGTAATGTCATTTATAGCATTTTATTAATCAGTCAGGAATCCACATCAGTTCTTTATTGTTTAGCGTCTACTGTGTGTCAGGCAGACATAAAAGAAGCGATCCCTGCCGAAAGAATTCATAGTCTGTGGGGGAAACACAATTACAAAGCATGGTGGTCAGCTCTAGGAGAATGGAATGCACATGATATTGTGGGAGCAGTCAGGAGGGTGTCCAACTCAGCATGACGGGCCGCTCATCAAGGATGACGTCCTAGAGTCAGTTAAGCTTGAGACAGTGGTAAAAATGATTAGGAGTCTGTGAAAGGGAGCAGTGGGAGGGGGGGTAGTGAATCACTATAGGGCAAAGGAACAAAAACGCATGAGAGTTTGATAGACTGTGGAACATGTTCTGGAATTTGGAGTAGTTTCAAGATAGACTAAGCCTAGGGTGTTCTTATGGGGAGCCCGAGAAGAATAGACTGGGAAGATAAGCATGGTCCACATCATTGAGGCCTCTGTGTACCATCTCAGGAGTTTGAAGTCTATCCTGAAGTTCTATGAGGAGTTTTTTAAGGGACGCATGATGCAAATCATTTATTTATTAAACAGATATTTTGTGAGCATTTACTATGAGGCAGGCCTTATTCTGGGCCTGGGAATATGCCAGTGAATGAGAGAAGTAAGACTCTTGTTTTTATGCAGTTGACACTCTA